TGGGTATTCTGTTTGTGATAATTGTTTGGATACACTATATTTTTAATATGCTAGTTGTGATAATTTCATGCCAAGTAAAAATGTCCATAGTCATATTTTATGTTCCTAAAGTAACAGAATGACTTTCAATCTAGAAAAGACAAAAGAAATGCTAATGTAGCATTTTTTTCAATTTTTCCGAAAAAAACCGGGAAAAACCCGGGTTTTTTTCCGAGCTTCAAAATTTCCGGAAATTTTACATCTCTATGCACACACTTCAGGGGTCATGTGGCGCTCTGTCTCATGAGAAGGGCTAGACAGGTGCCCCCGGGGGAGGTTCGAAAGGAGTGTGGGATTGTGGGAAAGGGTTCAGCGTTTGTTGTTAAAAGGACAAGATGGGCCAAGGTTTTGTGGAGGTCACCCCATTTTGACCTGGGAACGTTTCCCCCTTCATGCTATGCTTCCTGCGGTGACCTTCTGCTGAAGTGGCACTCTGCTTTGCTTAGCGGACACGTTTTGTGCCTTGTCCCGCAGAACTTGGCGCGTCAGGTCCAGGAGTCCTTGGCCAAGGCCAATGAAGTGGCGCTGGAGACCTTCCAGGCCATCTCCACCGTCCGCAGCTTTGCAAACGAGGAGGGGACGGCCCGGCGCTACGAGGAGAAGCTGCAGGGGACCTACCAGCTCAACAAGTGGGAGGCTGCGGCCTACGCCACCTCCTTGTGGACTAGCAGCGTAAGCGATGCCACGGCTCTCTTTGGTTTTCTGAGCGGGTGACAGAGCACTGGGACAGGAATTCGGAGCCCCCCTCTCCCCGTCTGGAGGAGTGGGCCTTGGTTGGGTGGGTGGTGGGACTGGGAGGCGCCGGGGTTCACACAACAGGATTTCCCAACATGATGCCCACGGGCCCGTGGCACCCACAGACACCTCAAAGTGTTTTTAGCAGGTGGGGGGAAGAGGTGGAGCTTCTGCCCAGAAAGGATTCTGATTGGCCACTGGAGATCTGAGGCACTGTGCAGGGTTTTTTTTAAAAAACCATTATGCTTTTCCCAACCATGATGCACTGTGCGACTGAAGGTAAGCGGCGGTGGCCATTTTGTGTCTGGCCCCGCCTCCGGCGGCAGCCATTTTGTGGTTGGGCCCACTGTGCCAGAATTCCAAAGGCGCCCACAGGTTTCAACAGCTCGGAGGCCCCAGTCCAAGGAGACAGGAAAGCACTTTTTCTCATGCAGCTTCTCTTCATTCTCCTCCTCCAGATCTCGGGATTGGCTCTCAAAGTGGGGATTCTGTACTACGGGGGCCACCTGGTCACGCTGGGGGGGGTGAGCAGCGGAGATCTGGTGACCTTTGTCCTCTACGAGATGGAGTTCTCCTCAGTGGTGCGGGTGAGTTTGGGGGCACATGCAGGGTGGTGGTGAGGAGATGAGAACAGCAGCCCATGGGGGTCTCCCACTGTGTGGGGCAAGGGACGCTCTGTCTTCTTGGTGCTTGGGGTGGGGGTCAACAGTGGGAGGGCTTCTAGTGTCCTGGCCCCACTGCTGGACCTCCTGGTGGCACCTGGTATTTCTGGCCACTGTGTGACACAGAGTGTTGGACAGGGTGGGCCATTGGCCTGATCCAACATAGGTTCTCTTATGTTCTTATGTCTGGGGCAAGGGACGCTGTGTCTTCTTGGTGCTTGGGGTGGGGGGGGGCACAGTGGGAGGGCTTCTGGAGTTCTGGACCTGCTGGTGGACCTCCTGAGGGCACCTGGGTTTTGGCCACTGTGGGACCACAGATAGAGTCGGCCAGGTCCCTTCGTTGCCCTGGCAGGGGGATTTTGGGGGGGGGCATTCTGGGAGACCCCTGACGTGATGTCCTCATGTTGGGGACAACATGTTTTGACGCTCTGGTTTTTGGGCAAGACTTTATGGTAAAACTGGCTTCAAACCATAGAGTTTTTGCCCTCAAACCAGAGTGTCACTGTGCAACATCCCTGACATGATGACATCACTCCTGGGTGACATCACCACGTTGGGGACGTCCTGAAATGACATCACTGTTTGGGGGCGGGGCTTCCCCTACTGGCCAGCAGCAGGCAGAAGCCCCCAAAACTGGGGGAACCTCCTCCGGTATCTGGGTACTGGCAACCCGAGACTCAGAGTGTTGGGCTGTATGGGCCACCGTCCTGATCCAACATGGCTTCTCTTATGTTCTCATGTCTCCTTCGACCCCTCCCCCTCCCCAGGCCCTCCTCTTTTCTTACCCGAATGTGCAAAAAGCAGTCGGATCATCTGAGAAGATTTTCGAATACATGGACCGGACGCCCCGGATCGCCCCCTCGGGGACCCTGGCACCCCCAGAACTCGGAGGACACGTCCTCCTGCAGGACGTCTGGTTTTCCTATCCGGACCGGGATGATGCTCTGGTGCTGAAGGTACCCTGGAGTGGGGAAGGGGCTGAGATTGGGGGTCACGGGTGGGGTGTGAAGGGAACCTTGAGCATTTCCCTTGGACACGAGAATCAAAGAAATCCGGCCCATTTTGGAAAAAAGAGGATCTTTGATATCTCTGTGTGTGCCGGAGAGCAAAATCTCCCTCCATCATGTTGGAGGCCTGGTCTCCCGCAGCTTGGAGGCTGACAAGATTTTTGGGGTGGGGTGGGGTGGGGGTGGGGGGCAACCTTTTGAGAGTTAAAACCTCCCTTCATCAGATTCAAGTCTGATGCATCAGATGCGAAGGGATTCTCAAAAGCTCACGCCCCGAAAATTTTGTTGACTTCCCAGGTGCAATTGGAATGTGAACCTAACTGTTCTGCTGAGAGCCAGCTGTGGTGTCATGGTTGAAGAGTGGCGGACTCTAATCTGGGAGAACCGGGTTTGATTTCCCACTCCTCCACGTGCAGCCAGCTGGGCGACCTTGGGCCAGTCACTGTTCTCTCAGAGCTCTCTCAGCTCCACCTCCCTCACAGGGCATCTGTTGTGCAGAGAGGAAGGGAAGGTGATTGTAAGGAGCTCCAAGACTCCTTCAGATAGTGAAGGGCGGAGTATAAATCCAACTCTCCTCGTCCTCCTCCCTCTCCTCTTTCTTCTCGTCCTTCTCCTCTTTCTCCTCCTCCTCCTCCTTGTCCTCTTCCTCATTGTTGCCCTCCTCCTCTTTCTCCTCGTCCTTCTCTTTATCCTCCTCCTCCTCCTCATAAGTCTGGTGTAGCGATTAAGTGTGCGGACTCTAATCTGGGGGAACCGGGTTTGATTTCCCACTTCTCCACTTGCACCTGCTGGATGACCTTGGGCAAGCCGTAGTTCTGGCAAAGCTGTTCTCTCAAGGGCAGTCCTGGAAAGAGTTCTCTCAGCCCCACCTACCTCACGGGGTGTCTGTTGTGGGGAGGGGAAGGGAAAGGAGTCTGTAAGCTGCTCTGAGACTCCTTTGGGTAGTGAAGGGCAGGGGATAGAGCCAATCTCCTCCTCTTCTCCTCCTCCTCCTCCTCGTCCTTCTCCTCTTTCTCTTTCTCCTCCTCCTTCTCCTCCTCTTCCTCTTCCTTCTCCTCCTCCACCCCCTGAAACTATCCTTTTAGTACCTCCAGTGTTACTAAACGCACCGCTTCCTGAGGGAGAAGCTGAAACCAGTGTAGGAATGATTTGACCGGATGGCTCAGCTTTGGGTGCCTTGAGTGGCCTCGGAGAGGGGGGTTGGGGAGGGCTGGACCGCAGCTGGGCCTGTGATCGACCGGTCCTTCGTGGCCACAAGTGGGGGCTTGGGGGGGGTTGGGGTTGCCAGTTCCAGATTGGGAAACTCAGCCAGTTTGGTGTCGTGGTGAAGTGCGCGGACTCTAATCTGGGAGAACCCGGTTTGATTCCCCCACTCCTCCACTTGCACCTGCTGGTGTGACCTTGGGTCAGTCACAAGCTCTGGCACAGCTGTTCCTGAAAGAGCAGTTTGTGTCAGAGTTCTCTCAGCACCACCCACCTCAGAGGGTGTCTGTTGTGGGGAGGGGAAGGGAAAGGAGTTTGTAAGCCGCTCTGAGACTCCTTTGGGTAGTGAAGGGCGGGGTATAAATCCAATCTCTTCTTCTTCTTCTTCTTCTGCTTCACAGGGTGTCTGTTGTGGGTAGGGGAGGGGAAGGGAAAGGAGTTTGTCAGCCGCCCTGAGACTCCTTAAGGTAGTGAAGGGCGGGGTATAAATTCAATCCCTTCTTCTTCTTCTTCTGCCTCACAGGGTGTCTGTTGTGGGGAGGGGAAGGGAAAGTAGTTTGTCAGCTCCTCTGGGTAGTGAAGGGCGGGGTATAAATCCAACCTCCTCTTCTTCTTCTTCCTGGAGATTTGGGGGTGGAGCCTGGGGAGGTCACAGGGACCTCAGTGGGGTATGATGCCATATAGAGTCCGCCCTCCAGAGTATCCTTTTTCTCCGGGGGACTGATGATCTCTCGTCTGGAGGTGAGCTGCCTTTCTAGGCGGTCTCCCAGCTCCCGCCTGGAGGCTGGCATCCCCCAACTGTCCACCCCCAGCTTGGCGCGACGCATCCTCCCACTGTCCCTAAATCCGAGCCCACCCGTGCCCTCCCTTCCCCACAGGGGGTGACCCTGGAGCTGCGCCCCGGCACAGTGACGGCGCTGGTTGGCCCTTCGGGGTCCGGGAAGAGCACCGTGGTGGCCCTGCTGGTGCGGTTCTACGATCCGGAGCGAGGACGGGTGACGCTGGACGGGAGAGACCTGCGGGAGTATGAGCATCGCTTCCTGCATGGGAAGGTAGGGGCCACTCACACACACACACACACACACACACACCGGGACTGAAGGGCGTTAGAACCACTCCCATTTCCTGGCAGGACTCAGGGTATGAAAGGAACCGATGCTCCCTCTAAGCCAGTGGTGGCGAACCTGTGGCACGGGTGCCAGAGGTGGCACTCAGAGCCCTCTCTGTGGGCACGCGTGCCATCGCCCCAGCCAGGCCCAGACCATCATTAAAGTGTCGAATTCTCTGCCAAGTAATTTTAAGCAAATGAAAGCATTTGGGATTGCTTCCCTTACTTTGTTTGGATCATCTGAAGTTAACGTGTGAGTTGTTTTTCCTAAAGTAAAACCTCAGTATTCAGGTTAAATTGCCGTGTTGGCACTTTGCGATAAATAAGTGGGTTTGGGGTCGCAGTTTGGGCACTTGGTCTCTAAAAGGTTCGCCATCACTGCTCTAAGCTGTGGAGTCCTGTGAGCAGAAATTCTGCTTTGTGAGCGAATGGCATGATGTGAGTGAGGAATTTGACTTAAATCAGTTTGCTCTGGAGCCCTCCTTCCTTGCTCTTACTCCTTCAAAAGTGTCTGGGACTCCCTCAATATAAAAATGATGTAGTCCTAAAACAGAGGGAGTTCCTTCATATTTCCCCCCAGAATTTTTGTAGATATCGACTTTTTCCTTGATTTTCTGATTCCTCAAGTTTTAAAGTCTTGATTCTGTGTCTTTTCCCTTCATAAGTGTAAAAATTGTCTTCCGAAAACAGCCATCCATATTCCCTCTTAATAGCAGCTTGTAATTCCATGAATTGTTTTCTTTTTGTTGTCTCTGAGATGGTATGAAAGTCACTATTTTGTCATAATTTTTTAATAGAGTCTCTGGTACTTTCTTGTAAAGGTTGTACTTCTCTTTGTAGGGATAGGTTCTTTTTTATAAGTCCAGTCGTCTTGCTTGGAGGTTTCCTCTGTGTTATCAAGACAGGCAGGTCCTTTTCCCTCCTCTTTTGATGCTGTCTGGCCTGTTTTGCTCTTAGTTTTAAATCGTTGCGTCCATGTTTGGATTTCTGTCTGTACCGGGAGAAAGGTTTCTTCGAGTGCTTTTTTAATGGTCACATTAGTTATATTTTGAACCATATTCAAAAGGTCTTCCAAGGAACCTTTACTGTTAGTTACACCAGACTCTATAGACCAGGGGTGTCAAACTCATTTGTTATGAGGGCCAGATCTGACATAAATGAGACGTTGTTGGGCCGGGCCATGTGTGTCATAAAATGTAATGCCAGGTAGCAGAGATATAAACTTTATAAAGGACACAAACACAAAGGGTTTTTTTAAAACTTAAAATAAAAGCATGCTTAAAACATTAGCACTCTTGCAATATTTTATCTAACAGTGTCTGATAACTGACACCTCTTGCTCTGAATTATTGCATCAAAATGTCGGTGCTGTTGCAATCTTGAGTATGCTGTTCAGGCGTGTATCTGTAAGGGGCAAGCCGACGATGACGCAGCAGCAGCAGAACTGGAAGAAGAAGCAGAAGACAGCCAGTTCCACTGGGGGCCTGAGAAAAGCCCTCTGGGGGCCTCATCCGGCCCCCGGGCTGCATGTTTGACACCCCCTGCTATAGACAATGAATCCACTCAATTGGACTTTGTTGGTCTTAAAGGTGCTGCTGAACTCAAACTTTGTTTTATCCCTCCCCCTGCCCCCCGTGAGTATGGACACAGCACTGGGGAAAATGTGTCGCCTCAGCTATGTGTCCACATCTTCTGGGCCTGGCTGAGCCATCCAGAAACACTCAGGCCTTCCTCCCGCCCTGCAGGTGGCGCTGGTGAGCCAGAGTCCAGTGCTGTTTGCGCGATCGCTGCACGGGAACATTGCTTACGGACTGGGAGAGCGGAGTCCGGAGGAGGTGAGGCAGGCGGCCCAGCGAGCCGGGACGCACCGATTCATTGAGGGACTGAGCCGCGGCTACAACACAGGTAGAGGTGCCCTTCAGGAATCGCCCCCTCGGTGGTTCGCCAGGTCCACAGCGCACTCTCGAGTCCGTGGCCTCACCAGCGATGGGCCTCCAACTCAGCAGTCCCGGCCGAGGGGCTGCGGCTCATTGCATCTGCTTGGCATGCAGAAGGCCCCAGGTTCAATCCCCGGCAGCCTCTCCGGTGAAAAGGATCCGGTAGTAGCTGAGGGCGAGACCTCTCCGCCTGAGAGCTGCTGCCGGTCCGAGTTGGTAATACTGATCTCGATGGACCGATAGCTCGATTCAGTAGAAGGCAGCTTCATGTGTGACACATGTACCCAGGGGTCATTTCGGGGGGATCGCGGCGGATCGCAGTTCCCCCGAGTGAGGTACGGGGGGCGGGGCACATGACGAAGCCCCGCCCCCTGTTTCCGGCCGCCCCGCTTCCGGCCCTCATTCAGCCAGGAGGAGGCAGGAGAAGAGGGAGGGTAAGTTGCTTCCTCCCTGCCTCTCACCACCCCTGCCTGGCTGGGGCCAGGGAGGGCCTTCGCGGGGCTTCCTCGCACTCCCGCCGGCCTTGCAGGTCCACCGCCGGGCCCCTCATGGGGCTCGGCAGTGGAGCTGCAAGGCTGGCAGTGGCGGCTGGGACCGTTGGGGGCGGGGTGTGTGGCCTTATGACACACTTCCGGTGATGTCAGGGGGCGTGGCCTTATGACCCACTTCCGGTGATGTCAGGGGGTGTGGCATATGCTAATTGCTGAATTCTGGGTGACACTTCACAGCAAGAGATGTGGTCGAAGGGAATGCTCCCTCTAAGCTGTGGAGTCTTGTGAGCAAAAATCCTACTTTGTGAGCGACCGGCATGAAAGTCGTGAGCGAGTGGCTTGGCAACTACACGAATTAAGTTTGCTCCGGAGCCCTCCTTCGTGCGCCGGAGGCTAAAAACCTGTGATCTAGCTCACACTAACTCAGCTTAGAGGGAACACGGGTTGGGAAAGGGCCACGGTCGCCTTACAGGCAGGCCTGTGTTTCCATCCTGCCCTTCCTCCGAGGATCACAGGGCAGCACCCGTGATTCCCCTCTGCTTCATTTTATCCTCACAACAGCCGTGTGAGGTAGGCTGAGGGCGAGTGACGCGCTCGAGGTGACCCCAGTGAACTCCGCCGGGTGGCCTTTTGGACCCCCAGTTCCAGCCCAGCCCTCTTAATGGGTCACGGTAGTGGTGGGGAGCGCCGAATTATGGAGACCCCCTCATGGGGCTGTTGAGGCAAGTGTCAGAACCCACATCCAACAACGAAGTACACACATTCAGGAACGGTTATACTTTTATTGCAGAGCCATAGATGCAGTAACATAGGCACTGTTAAGAATGGCGGCGGCCCCATGGGCATAATAGGATATAGGATAAGGATTAGAGACCGTTAGGTAGCTGAAGCTGAGAACAAACACTCTCCCACGACACCCAGGGAAAACCCAGACACCGCAACATCCTCCTGCACATCTGTCTAGATAAGCGTTTCGGCGCAAAGCAGAGGAAGCACAGAAAGGAATGCAGTAGCAATTAACCTGAAAGGAAAGCAATAGCAATTAACCAGATGCAGAACAAACTCCCCAACCTTCATGGCAGCATAGCTGACAGCAAGAGACATTTAGAGGTGGTTGGCCATCGCCTGCCTCTGCGTCACGACCCTGGTATTCCTTGGGGGTCTCCCATCCAAATGCTAACCGGGGCCGACCCTGCTTAGCTTCTGAGGTCTGACGACAGCAGGTCATTCAGGTCAGTGCGGTGGCCGTTGTCAACGTCATAGATTATTTCCCAGAGGGAGTGAAATAGCAGCTTAGAGGCGGTTTACGAAAGATTATTGTGTCCAGATCACGGGAGGGGGTCGTTCCGCTCTATTCTGCTATGGTCAGGCCGCACCTGGAGTCCTGTGTCCAGTGTTGGGCACCACATTTTAGGAAGGATGTTGACAAGCTCGAGCGTGTCCAGAAGAGGGCAACCAGGATGGTGAGAGGGTTGGAATCCAAGTCTTAGGAGGAAAGGCTGAAAGAGTCGGGTCTGTTTAGCCTGGGAAAGAGAAGGCTTAGAGGGGACACGATTGCAGTCTTCAAGTATTTGAAGGGCTGTCGTGTAGAAAATGGAGCAGATCTATCCTCTCTTGCTCCGGATTGCAAGTCTAGATCTAACGGGTGGAAATTACAAGGGAGTCGTTACCGGCTAAATATCAGGAGAAACCTCCTGACTGTATGAGTGGTTGAGCAGTGGAACAGTCTGCCTCTGGAGGTGGTGGAGGCTCCTTCGCTGGACGTTTTCAAGCGGAGGCTGGATTACCATCTTTTGGGTATGTTGTAGGGCTGTCTTTCGGCTACGCTCCTGTAGAGTGCAGGGGGTTGAACTAGATGACCTGCAAGTTCCCTTCCAACTCTTAACATTCTATGATTTCAGTGTTAGTGTTTAAATAGGCAGAGCTACATGCCTGTGACCGCCCCAATGATCTCTTGTGCTAAGTCTCCAGAAAGGAGAACAGTGGCGAGGAGAAAGAGAGAGAGAGGACCCCCTGCTTGGGGTGATTTTGGGGGTGGCTGGGATGCTGAGGAGGGGGCTGAGAGATCAGGCAGGGGGCCTCAGAGGAGGGGCGGGGCCTGAGTTTGAATTGTGCCTGCCAAGGGGTGCCCAAGGAAGGCTCCTGAAGTCCTTTTCTCTTCCCGCAGATGCCGGTGAAACGGGGAGCCAGATCTCGGGGGGGCAGAGGCAGGGGGTCGCCATTGCCCGGGCCCTGATCCGAGACCCCAGGGTGCTGATCTTGGATGACGCCACCAGTGCTCTCGACATGGAGAGCCAGCAGCAGGTGAGTGATTTTGGGGGGGGGGGTGTCCGGGCATGGAGAAAACCTGGACTGGAACAGTGGAGGTCCCGTTGGTGCAAAATTTCCTTGGATTGGTTGCATTTTTATTTTATTTTATCCCACCGTTCCTCCAAGGAACTCAAAAGCGGTGTGTGGTTATCACAACCACCTTGTTAGGTCTGAGGATGGGAAGGCCCAAGATCACCCAGTGGATTTCACAGCTGAGTGAGAATTTGAACTCAGGCCTGTGGCCACACCTTCACTATTTAACCGGCACACTACACTGCCTGCCTTGGCAACTGGTGAGAGGCGCTGGAGCCCTGCCCCACTCCCGGAAGGAAGCCTACGACCCAGTATGTCGTCTGTGGCATGGCTCACTTGCTTGAGTTCTCTGGTGTAGCTAGTTTGGTGTAGTGATGAAGAGTGGCAGGCTCTAATCTGGGAGGACCGGGGTTGATTCCCCACTCCTCCATCTGCAGCTGCTGGTGTGACCTTGGGTCAGTCACAAGTTCTCTCAGAGCTGTTCTCTCAAGGGCAGTCCTCGAGAGAGCTCTACCTACCTCACAGGGTGTCTGTTGTGGGGAGGGGAGGGGAAAGGAGACTGTAAGCCGCTTTGAGACTCCTTCGGGTAGTGAAGGGCGGGGTATAAATCTAATCTCTTCTTCTTTTACCTCACAGGGTGTCTGTGGTGGGGAGGGGAAGGGAAAGGAGTTTGTAAGCCGCTCTGAGACTCCTTTGGGTAGTGAAGGGCGGGGTATAAATCCAATCTCTTCTTCTTCTTCTTCTTCTTTTACCTCACAGGGTGTCTGTTGTGGGGGGGGGGAAGGGAAAGGAGTTTGTAAGCCGCTCTGAGACACCTTTGGGTAGTGAAGGGCGGGGTATAAATCCAATCTCCTCTTCTTCTTTTACCTCACAGGGGGTCTGTGGTGGGGAGGGGGAAGGGAAAGGAGTTTGTAAGCCGCTCTGAGACACCTACGGGTAGTGAAGGGCGGGGGATAAATCCAATCTCCTCTTCTTCTTCTTTTACCTCACAGGGTGTCTGTGGTGGGGAGGGGGAAGGGAAAGGAGTTTGTAAGCCGCTCTGAGACACCTTCGGGTAGTGAAGGGTGGGGTATAAATCCAATCTCTTCTTCTCCTTTTAGCATCACAAGGCATGGTTAGACCAGGGGTCCCTTTCCTACCAAGTGTGATGTAGTGGTTAGAGTCTTAAACTAATGTCTGGGAGACCCAGGTTCAGATCCCCGCTTGTGCTGTGGAAGCTTGCCGGATGACCTTGGGCCGGTCACAAACACTCAGCCTAGCCTACCTCACAGGGTAGGTTGTGCCAATAGAAACAGAAGATGGAATCATGTACTCCTTGCTGAGGTGTTTGGAGGAAGGTGGGAGTAAAAATACACTAAATAAATATATCAAAGGGGAAGGAATGTGGGCACAAAATCCTTGGCCCATTGACAGTTCGGGGGTGGCACTGTCAACTAGCTGTAGTTTCTGCTCAGTCTTTTTTTTATTTTCTCCACAATGGGGAATTTTTTGTTGCATTTTTATTAAAACTACAAACTATAACAGAAATAAGGAAGGGGACTACGTTTAAGGGGACAAAGAAAAGATACCCACTGCTGACTAAAAACCCAAGAGAGGAGATCTTCTAATCAGAGCCAGTTTGGTGTAGTGGTTAAGTGAGCGGACTCTAATCTGGGAGAACCGGGTTTGATTCCCCACTCCTCCACTTGCACCTGCTGATGTGACCTTGGGTCAGTCACAAGCTCTGGCACAGCTGTCCTTGAAAAAGAGCAGTTTGTGTCAGAGTTCTCTCAGCCCCACCCACCTCACAGGGTGTCTGTTGTGGGAAGGGGAAGGGAAAGGAGTTTGTAAGCCGCTCTGAGACACCTTTGGGTAGTGAAGGGCGGGGTATAAATCCAATCTCTTCTTCTTCTTCTTCTTCTTCTTCTAATCAGTTTAAATACACATCTAGTCTTAATCATATTAATCTCATTACAAACTGAGTCACATAGTCTGTTTGGTGTAGTGGTTAAGTGTGCGGACTCTAATCTGGGAGAACCGGGTTTGATTCCCCACTCCTCCACTTGCACCTGCTGATGTGACCTTGGGTCAGTCACAAGCTCTGGCACAGCTGTCCTTGAAAAAGAGCAGTTTGTGTCAGAGTTCTCTCAGCCCCACCCACCTCACAGGGTGTCTGTTGTGGGGAGGGGAAGGGAAAAGGAGTTTGTAAGACGCTCTGAGACTCCAAGTGAAGGGCAGGGTATAAATCCAATCTCTTCTTCTTCTCTTCTTCTCTTCAACTTTTCCCACATCTTAAATTTAACTGATATCAGGAAATACCACAAAGCATCTCAGTTCAAAATTTTCCAAAGGCACCATTCAGAGTCCTTCAGTCTTCACTTCTTCTTGTCCAGTCTCTTCCGCAACTTATAAGGACTTTTAGGAGCTGCTGCCCAGTCTTCAAGGGCACCCCTGTGTTGAGCACACTGCAGCAGTCTAATCTGGAGGTCTCCAGATGGGGATGTGTAATTGTGGCCACACTCTTAGCCAGGCCTACCTTACAGGCTGGTAGTTTAGAAGAGAAGCAAAGGAAAGGGGAACCGTGTAAGCCACGTTGGGTCCCATAGGGGAGAAAGGCGCGGTATAAATGAAATAGATACTCTTTTATATATACATATGTGACGACCCCTTAACTGGGGAGGTCTGGTTTTACTTTAAAAGTGTTCTTTATGTTTTATTTTACTGTATATATCCGGCTGCCACCAGGAAATTTCAAAAAGGATTTCCAAACCTTTATGCTTTCTCTATTTCTGGGTAGGTAGGTCGAGGGTTTTAGGCTTTCATGAGGGTCTATGTGTTTCCCGAGACTTATTTCTTTCAGAGCTGGCAGACTTGAATGAAATAGGATTTATTTAAATAAAGCATAAATACGAGGGTAGAACAATGTAAACAGTAATGTTGAATGATTTGAACAATTGCTTGGTGTCTCTCACAAGCTTCTCCCTTACTGACAGGGATGTTTCCAGTAACTTTGTAACCTTTTACTCAAGGTCTTATAAGTTCACTACAGTCTGTCACTCAGACTTTTTTATAACTTTTCTTCTTCTCTGAACAACATCAACAGACAGCTTAACTGTTTTCACACAGAATGGCTTCTCACTTCTTTCATACACAGAGCTTAACTGAACTCCTGCTTCTCTCACAGAACTCAGAACCAAACTAACTCCCTAACTGTCTTTATCAACTGTCAAATCTCTGTCACTCCTGATAGACATACATATCATCCACACAGCCTCAATTCCAAAATCCCTCCCCCTCTCTGTCACTCACCAATCACACCACTTGCCTGTTTCAACCACTCTAGACTATCATACAGTCATGCAACCAAACTTTTAAAGACACATACACAGTTAAACATGAAATCATTACAACATAATTTTTACATCATTTTAATTTATTATATTATTAAGTATATTTTATAGTTTGGTGTAGTGGTTAAGTGTGCGGACTCTAATCTGGGAGAGCCGGGTTTTATTCCCCACTCCTCCACACGCAGCTGCTAGATTACCTTGGGCAAGCCATAGTTCTGTCAGAGCTGTTCTTGAAAGGGCAGTTTCTGTCAGAGCTCTCTCAGCCCTGCCTACCTCACAGGGTGTCTGTTGTGGGGACGGGAAGGGACAGGAGTTTGTAAGCCACTCTAAGACTCTGAGTGAAGGGTGGGGTATAAATCCAATTATTTCTTCATGGGGTACAGAAACAAAAGGGGAAAGGAGTAACAAGAAGTCATTAGGCATTATGCATCAAAAGCTTTTGCATTTTCCATTTACTGAGGACACCCTTCTAATCTATAGGATGTGTGTAATGGGTGCATAGATCACGAGTAGGATATCATCTCAGCCGACATACAGAAATAAGTATTCTAACAGACCCCTGGGAGAAGGCAGGCACTGTGCACTTGGGGGACCGATTGTGAAACAAACCTCATTTTCTCGCTCAGGTGGAGAAGGAAATCTATGAGGGCCCGGCTTGCCCCCGGCGCTCCGTCCTCCTGATCTCCCACCGCCTCCGCACGGTGGAACAGGCCGACCGCATCCTGGTGATGGAAGACGGGCAGATCCAGGAGGAGGGGACCCACCAGCAGCTCCTGAGGAAGAGGGGCGCCTACTGGCAGCTGCTGCAGACGCAGCAGAACGGGGCGGAGGGGCAGCGCCCGGAGTCCGGAGAGTGGGCGTCCGTGGCCGAGGCGCTCTCCCCTTCCCTGTAGACGGGGCCGATTCTGCTGCCGGACATGTTTTTTTTGGAGGGGAGGGGAGGCGGAAGGCCCCAGGCCCCTTTTGTTTCCGAACTGTGACGCCGTCCCCCTCTCTGCCCTCCGTCCGCAGAAACAGGGAGGCGGAATGCAAGACCGGAGTTATTTATTATGTTCCGGAGGGGTTCCTCCGGTTCGGACGTTTGCATAAGGCATCCAGTCCGTCCATATTGGATCTGCAGCTTCTTTTGATGTACTCTTCTGTGTTCTTCCAAAGAAACACTCCTAAAAGAGCAGTTTTGGTATAAAGGTGACCCCGGAGGTCTGGGTCGGGGAGACACAGTCCCGACACTTAAAAATCCATTCTGGAGAGGAGCGTCTCCAGATTTTGCGTGCTGGAAGAAACACACCATCTCCTCCCAAGGAAGAGCTCTCTTTGGGGTGGTGATGAACTTGCGGGGGGGAGGGGCTATTTTCTTAGGTGCCCGTGTAAATAAAAAACGGCCTGATATTTTCCATTCGCTGTCTCTTTTGTGCTTTGCTTCCCCTCGCCCTCCCCCGCTGCTGATGGTCCTTTTGCAGGGTTTCTGCCCATCTGTCTGAATAATGACTCCCCCCCCATTGACAGAATCGTAGTGTTGGAAAGGGGATATAGAGGGCATCTAGTCCAACCCCTCATGCAAGATCAGCCTAAAGCATCCATTTAGTGTTCGTCCAGCCGCTGCTTGAAGACTGCCAGTGAGGGGGAGCTCACCCCCTCCTTAGGCAGCCAATCCCACTGCTCAACTACTGTAAAGGGGGAAAAAAATCCTAAGATCCAGCTGGGACCGTCCCGCCCTTAATTTACACCCATTATTGTCCTCTCCTTTGCTGCCAACAGGAACAGCTCCCGGCCCTCCTCTCTAAGTGACAGCCCTCCAAATACTTCTGGAGAGCAATCATGTCCCCCCTCAACCTCCTCTTCTCCAGACTGAACATTTGCAAGTCCCTCAGCCTTTCCTCACCCCCCCCACCATCCTCATCGCTCTCCTCTGCACACGCTCCATTCCATCCACATCCTTTTTGAAGTGAGGCCTCCAGAACTGCACACAGTAATACTCCAGGTGTGGCCTGACCAATGCAGTGTACAGTGGGGCTATGACACCTCGTGATTTGGATGTTATTCTTCTAATGATACACCCCCAAGATCGCATTAGCCTTTTTTGCTGCTGCATCACCCTGCCTGGCTCGGATTTAGCTTACAACCCACCCGTTTGCACACCCTGCTTCCCAGAAGGGTGTCCTTCATCCAGTATGTGTGCATCTCCTTCCTAGCAGGAGTCTTTGTGTCACCTTCCCTCTCTTGTCAGATGGAGTTCTGTGCCTAACAGCAAATTCTGCTGGGGCTTCCCTCCACCCAGAAGTGCAGTGATAGAGGTGGGGGGGGGCTTCCCTTTGGAAAGCATTCTGAGCATCCTAGGGGGGGGAGTTGGCAACCCTCGAAGTAAGAAGGTTGCTCGGGAAAGTTGGGGGCGGGGCTCTGAAAAGAAGAAAAATCAGCAGGGGTGGGGGAGAAGATTGGGCCAGCCAAAGGAAGGAAGGGGAGGGACTACGAACGGCTGGACGCCCCCGCCCCTTTGCCGTTTGCTCGTGTTCCTTTTCCACGCGGTGCGCGCAGCTTTCGGAAACGATGCGCTCCCCGGCAGCCAATGGCTCAGGAGCAGCCTGGAATGCATCACCAGTTGCTAGGGAGAAGCCGAGGCGGCGGGTTGGGACGGCCGGGGATTCCCCCCCCTGCCAGCGCCGCCGCGTGTGGCCAGCGCCCCCTGGTGTTGGCGAGGAGCCACGGCAGGGCGACACAAACCTTATTTAAGCATGGCAATCCTCAAAGAAATCAACCCTGGCTGTTCCCTGGAAGGCCAGATAATGAATCTAAAGCTCAAATACTTTGGCCACCCAATGAGAAGGGAGCACTCACTGGAGAAGACCCTGATGCTGGGAAAGATTGAAGGTCAAAGAGGACAGGGACGGCAAAGGATGAGATGGTTGGACAGTGTCACAGATGCAACGAACATGAAATTGAGCAAACTTCAGAGGACCGCGGAAGACAGGAGGGCCTGGCGAGATCTGGTCCATGGGGTCGCGAAGTCAGACTCGACTGTGCGACTGAACAACAACACAAGCATGGACGGCTTCAAGAGGGAATTAGATAGGCATATGGAGCAGAGGTCCATCAGTGGCTATTAGCCACAAGGTATAGATAGGGGCTCTGGGGCAAGTGATGCTCTGTCTTCTTGGTGCTTGGGGGGGGGGTCAACAGTGGGAGGGCTTCTTATGTCCTGGCCCCACTGGTGGACCTCCTGATGGCACCTGGTATTTTTGGCCGCTGTGTGACCCAGAGTGTTGGACAGGATGGGCCACTGGCCTGATCCAACATAGGCGTCTCTTATGTTCTTAAGCCTGCCTGGTGTGCCAGCGTTGGAAGGGGTCCTCCGGGGTCATCTACTCCGACCCCATGCACAATGCAGGAAATTCACAAAAGACCTCCCTCCCCCCGAACTCAGCAGGGCTGACTTCAGAGTCAAGATGCCGAGGAGACACGAACGGAGGTGCCTCAGACAGATGCCAAAGGGAGGCGGGGGGGGGGCAGCCTGCTCGGGCAGAGAAAAGCTTCCCGGGCTCCATTTGGGACTCCCCCGGCGGCTTCTGCAATGGCCATTCAACTCCCGGCCTCCCTCCGGCTGCGGCGAGGCGGGAAAGGGAAGGGAGGGGCGCAGAGCCGCCGCTTTCGCTTTCGCTGCGCGCTGCTGCTGCTGGTGGCAGAGCCGGAGCGGCGGGATGGCGCTGCAGGACGTGTGCGGGCTGGCCGGGGCGGACTGGGGCAGGGGAGCGCCCGGAGGGTCTTCTTGGGCCGCCACCGCGGTGCAGCCGGGCGGCCTGGCGCATTACTCCTTCGGGGCGCGGGAGGCGCGCATCGCCGTGCCCCGGGGCAGGCAGGTGAGTGTGGCCCCCGCGGGGGAGCGGGGCGCAGCCCAGAAACCCCCTCCTTCTCCCCCACCCCCGACACCCATGCCGAGGGGCCCGATCCGAGGAGCTGGCTCAGGATCGTGGCCCTCGGCGCGGGGAGGGTCTTTCCCAGAGCTTATAACCGATGCTTCCGGGGAAGTCGTTGCCACCTCCCGGGCGGGAATTCCTGGATAGTTTTGGGGGGGGGCTACAGCGTGGTATATGATGCCACGCTCTGCTCGCCGTTTCCCATGGAGGAACTGATCTCTGCAATCCAGCGGTCCGTTGCATTTCCGGGAGATCTCCAGGTCCTGCCTGGGGGTTGGCGACCCATGTTCCCTCTAAGCTGTGGAGTCTTGTGAGCCAAAATCCTACTTTGTGAGCTCCTGGCATTAAAGTTGTGAGCAAGCAATTTGGCTACTGCAAAAATTAGTTTGCTCTGGAGCCATCCCTTCCTGAGCTAAGACAAAAATGTGTGAGTCAGAGGCTAAAAAACTGTGAGCTAGGTGACACTAACTCAGCTTAGAGGGAACACTGTTGGCGACCACTGGCTCTCCCAGAAGTGCCAACTGGTCCCTGCCGTCCAGAGATCCATTGCACTTCCGGGAGATCCCCAGATCCCACCTTTGGCTCTTTGGCCAATAGTTTTCTTTGTAGAGCCCCCAAGACTTCTTTTCAGGGGCAGGCCTTGGGATTGGGAAGTGAAGAAAGGTGCTGCCTCAGAGCATATGCAGAGAGCTCTTCCTTTTCAGCACTTCCAGGAGCAAGGGGGCAGAGCTTCGGGATCAAAGTGCAGAGCTGCTGTGTGTGGACTTGAACCCGGAACCTCGTGTCCCAAGAAGTTGGAGGGCCCATGGGGAGCCCCGCCCCCTGCTCCCTCCAGCCTGGTACCAGATTGGCAGACAGCAGAGGGGTGCGGGTGGCAGTCACTGTAGCAATGCTCCCTCTAAGCTGTGGCGTCTTGTGAGCAAAAATTCTACTTTGTGAGCCCCTGGCAGTAAAGGTTGTGAGCAGGCGATTTGGCTGCTGCATAGATTACTTTACTCTGGATACAGTGTTCCCTCTAAGCTGAGTGAGTGTGAGCTAGCTCACAGTTTTTTAGCCTCTGGCTCATGCATTTTTGCCTCAGCTCAGGAAGGAGAGCTCCAGAGCAAACTGATTTACGCAGCAGCCAAATCGCTCACAACTTTAACGCCAGGAGCTCACAGAGTAGTATGTTTGCTCACAAGACTCCGCAGCTCAGAGGGAGCATTGCTCTGGAGCCATCCTGTTGGGATTCTGATTAAGTAAGTCAGCAGAGTAAAGATTGAGAGACTGAGTCCATGGTGTGTTTAAAATATAAGAGTTTACTATCAACCTAACTCCTGCCAACCTTGCAGTTCGAAAGCAAGAAATTGCAAGTAGATAAATAGGTACCACTTTGGTGGGAAGGTAACAGCGTGCACCTTGGTGTTTAGTCATGCCGGCCACATGACCACGGAAACGTCTTTGGACAGCGCTGGCTCTTTGGCTTGGAAACGGAGATGAGCACCGCAACCCTAGAGTCGGATTTGACTGGCTTTCGAGCAAGGGAAGCTTTATCTTTACCTTTATCAACCTAACATGGGGAAAAGGTAAACAGGATATGAAAATAACACAGAGCTAATATGGCTACATCCTTACAGCTACAGGCAAAAAGCAAGGAAGGGTGTCTCCTTCAGTCAGAACGAAGACAGGAAGAAGGAACCAATATGCTAAAAACTTGACACATTGGTTTCCAATCAGACTGTTAATTTAGCCCCAAAGTTCCCAAGCTCTATTGTCTAAACAGATTGGTTACAAACAAACATGTGACTTCCTGTTGATCATAACAAACATCATTAACCCTGAAAATACTGAAGTGTTTTAACTTGTAACGCCCAACACATCCTTTCTGACCGAAGGAAAAAAGTGAGAGCCGGAGGCTAAAAAACTATGAGCTAGCTCACACTAACTCAGCTTAGAGGGAACACTGGCTCCACCCCACCCCCTCAAATTTCCAGGAGTTTCCCAGCCTGCATCTGACTAACCCATCTGCTCGTCCCCCTATGGGAGAACAGGGAAACTTTATTTTTGAGACTGGGAGCAGCCTTGCCAATCACTTTAATAGAAGGGCAGGACTTGGCTTTCTTTATTTTTGTTTCTGTTGTCCTTTTCAAACATAGGCTTTTCCTTTCTGTCGAAAGAGAAGAAGAGATTGGATTTATACCCCACCCTTCACTACCCAAAGAAGTCTCAGAGCGGCTTACAAACTTCTTTCCTTTCCCCTCCCCACAACAGACACCCTGTGAGGTAGGCGGGGCTGAAAGAGCTCTTGGCAGAAATGGCTCTTTTTCAAGGACAGCTGTACCAGAACTATGGCTTGCCCAAGGTCATCCAGCAGGTGCAAGTGGAGGAGTGGGGAATCAAACCCGGTTCTCCCAGATTAGAGTCCGCGCACTTAAACCACGACACAAAACTGGGCCCTGAAGACTTCTCACACCAAAGGAAAACCTCCTCCAATGATCTCAAATGCAAAAATTAAATTCCTTTCCTGTTGGCTTCTCCTGTCTGTCCCCCCCCCCCCAGCCCTCTGAGTTCCTGCAGTCCCTCGGCGAGGGCAGCGGAGACGGGCACCGGCTCGAGCTGGCCCACGGCACCACCACCCTGGCCTTCACTTTCCAGCACGGAGTCATCGTGGCCACCGACTCCCGGGCTTCGGCCGGCAGCTATATCGGTGAGTCGTCCCACCCTCTGACCCCTCACAGGTCTTCGGGGGGGAGGGGGGAGGGGCATTTGGAGGCCAGCGAGGACCCCTAATCCCAGAGGGGTCCTGAAGCAAATTTCAATAAGTGAATTGTTCAACAAAAGTGATGCAGGGTTTTTTTTAAAAAAAGGGTTTGTTATTAAAATAAGACTATTTTAGTGATGGCCATTTCGTGGTCACACCCTTAGCCCTGTATCGGAATTCCAGAGGTGCCCACAGGGGCAAAAAGGTCATGCTTGAAGCTCCCCCTCATTCCTGTCACAGTCTTGCTTTTATTAGTATTGCAGTCATTTTTGAATATATTTACCATAATTTATCCTCTTTGGGGAGTTAGTCTGGATTTTCACATAAGCCACCTTGAGAGCCATTTCCCCTAACCCTAAAATCAGTACCCCCTTACTAGGAAAACAGTACAAAGCCCAGTGGCGCCTCACAGTTTTTTAGCCTCCGGCTCACACATTTTTGTCTTAGCCCGGGAAGGAGGGCTCTAGAGAAAACTAATTTATGCAACAGCCAAATCACTTGCTCACAACTTTGATGCCACTAGCTCACAAAGTAGAATTTTTGCTCACAAGTTTCCACAGCTTAGAGGGAACATTGATGGTAGCGTAAGCTTTTGAGAAACACCGCTCTCTTCGTCAGGTGCATCCGCCGAAGAGAGCTGTGTTTCTCGAAAGCTTATGCTACCATCAAGTTTGTCGGTCTAAAAGGCGCTACTGGGCTTTTTAACTATTTTGCGGCAACAGAGAAGGAAACACGGCTGACTCCTCTGGGTCTTACTGGGAAAGGCTCAGAGATGGGTTGATGCGTGCTGAATTTGGAATCGCCCTTCCCCTCTCTCCACTCTCCACCCCTGCAGACACTCTGCTCTTCAACAAAGTGATCGAGATCAACCCCTACCTCCTGGGCACCATGTCCGGAAGCGCGGCCGATTGCCAGTACTGGGAGCGGCTCCTGGCCAAGCACTGCAGGTGGGTCTTCAGCGGTGGGTGTGTCTTTGAGTGAGGTCCAGGGCCGTAGCTAAAGCCCTCCTAGTGGGGAGGCCCTGGGGAAAGAGGGAGGCCGGAGTGTGTGTGTGTGCGCGCCTATCGCTTCCCACCCACCCCCGGCGGCGGGCCCGCCTCCCCGCCTGCCCGAAAGTGGGGGCTGACTGGCCGGACGATGGAACTCTCCGCAGCCGCAGCCCAAGAGGGGAGGAGAGGCGAGGCGACCCCGGCAGCAACAGGCAGTGCCTCCACCGCCCGCGCACCTCTGAGACACAACGCGGGCGGCCCTCCTCACCACACGTGCGCCGGCCGTGCTGCTCCGCTCTCCAAGAGGCCCCAGAAGAGTATACCATCTGAACTGTCTTTTGTGAAGAGCATGTTAGCACCTGTGTGGCACTGTGCTCACAAGTTTTCCAAGTGCACCCTGCCTCCTAATACACTCAGAGAGGTCACATTCCATCACTTCTAGGTCCTGGACACAGTACATGGAACATGTACAATAGTTTTGCCAATAAAGACCCTGTTTCCTCAACCAGGCACTTGCGGAGGCGGTCTCACCGGCTGCTGGACAGGGACCTGCTGCGGGGGAACTCCCGGTGCTTGTAGCGGCTGAGCAGGCATCGGCGGGGCGGGAAATCCCGGTGCAGGAGCAACTTGTAACTGCGCGGCGTGTGCGTCCAGGAAATTGGCCATTCTAACGTCCAACATTCCCGGCAGGCCTTCCATCACATCCTGGAATGCCCGCATTAAGTCTCTCACCGAGTCTTCCAGTTCTGCTAGACGTTCCCCGGTAGTTTCCTCCGGGATGGGGTCCCGAGGGCGGTAGTCCGGGGGTGGGTCATAGTCCTCTTCCGTTTGGAAGGCTCCGGTGCCCTCCTCATCTTCTGCGTGACCACGCGGTCCCGACGGCTCGAACATCCACTCCTCGAGGTCCTGCTTGGGGCTCCCCTTCTCCGAGGTAGACCCAGGTTCCGGGAACAATCCCTTGTCAAACAGACTCTCACGTAATCCGCTCCCCCGACGGGAGTACACCTCACGGGTGCCTTGGGTGTTGTACATAGTCCAATCATCCTGCTGGTGAGTCTTCCGCGGACCCCATTGCGAAGGGGTCGGAGGCGGCCAAGACAGATGTGCAGGCAGGCGGGGAATCGTTCCCCCCACGGCACCCTCCATCGAGGCTGCAGTCGTGAACACCAAAGACGCGGAGGTTTGTGGGCCCGATCCTGAGTCCCCCTCCGTGTTATGTAGGTTTCCCTCAGTTCCGCTCATGATCTTGCCAGATTCGGAACGATAGGAGAAAGGGAGTTCTAACAATATGTTGGATCCCCAAGCATCGAGAATAAATCCACGTTTTAAAGAAAAGCAAAATTTATTTCAAAGCGTTGAAGACATACTCAAACACGTTCTTTGTTAGAACTGGGGATACACAGTTAGGTCAAGCATAATAAAGGAACTTCAAACAGATACAGATCCAATGAATATCTTTCCCGCTGGCGGGCTAAGGAAACGGTTGCGCGCCCAGTACATGGGAACCAGGCAGAACATCAGACAAAACACAGGTGCAGTAGTCCTGGGAAAATCAATAGGCAAGCATTACAGCATCTTCTCCCCCACACAACCTCCAGCGGTTATCTTTTGCATTCCAAAGCAGGAGCAGGATGATAGAAGCCAAGCCGGGTGTAACTGGGAAAGGATATGTACACAGAGGTCACAGAAAACAGAATGGCAGCTTGCTGACACCTGACAGGGCCAGAGAAGGAGGCAGCGGCAGCGCTGATTTGGGAGGGGGAGGGGGAGCAGGGGAGGGGCCCGCAAAACTAGCGGGGAGCCAGGCCCCATGGGCCCCACGCAGGCTACGGGCCTGGTGAGGTCCCCCCTCTGGCCTGGCTGGAAGGACTTTGGAACTCTCCTGCGCTCCCGTTTGTTCCTCCGAATAGGTTTGTCATTTATTCGAAAGCGTGGAAGGCCAGTTGTGCTGGACTAGACGGACCACTGGTCTGATCTAGACTGGCCTTTCTTGTGTTTGTATAGGGAACCTCTGTACAACAGAAAGAGGAACACACAGGGTAAAAATGCAAAAAGAGAAAATAATATCTGTCTGAAAAAAGACACTGATACTGGTTCACAGATCACCAAAGTAATAACAATCAATGTACAGAATATAAACACAGTCTAGAAATGGGGTCGAATGATATCAAAAAAAGTAGAAGAGTTCTCTCTTGAGGCGAAGATGTACGAAGGAAAACGAAGGACCCGGATACTGTAAACTCTGTTTCGAAGGGCTTCTTCAGTAGTTAAAACAATATATCTTCAAAAAGATCAGTTATATGCACTCTTGCGACTTGCAGCAAACACTATCTCATTAGTGGGCAGTTATATACAGAAACATCTCTAGAAGAGCTTCTACTAAAGCTTTGCGTCACACTTCCTTCCATAGTTACTGGTCTTACCCAGCAGGGCTCTTCTGATGTTCTTATGAAGGCCTCGGCCTCCATGCCCTGTTGTTGCCCCTCCAGAGGAACTGGTTGAGGCTACTGTGGGAGACAGGAGGCTGGACTGGATGGACCCTCACTGGTCTGGTCCAGCAGGGCTCTTCTGATGTTCTTATGAAGGCCTCGGCCTCCATGCCTTGTTGTTGGCCCTCTGGAGGAACTGGTTGGCCACTGTGGGAGACAGGAGGCTGGACTAGTTGGACCCTCACTGGTCTGATCCAGCAGGGCTCTTCTGATGTTCTTATGAAGGCCTCGGCCTCCATGCCCTGTTGTTGGCCCTCCGGAGGAACTGGTTGGCCACTGTGGGAGACAGGAGGCTGGACTAGTTGGACCCTCACTGGTCTGATCCAGCAGGGCTCTTCTTATGTTCTTATGAAGGCCTCGGCCTCCATGCCCTGTTGTTGGCCCTCCGGAGGAACTGGTTGGCCACTGTGGGAGACAGGAGGCTGGACTAGTTGGACCCTCACTGGTCTGATCCAGCAGGGCTCTTCTTATGTTCTTATGAAGGCCTCGGCCTCCATGCCCTGCTGTTGGCCCTCCAGAGGAACTGGTTGGCCACTGTGTGAGGCAGGAGGCTGGACTGGATGGACCCCCACTGGTCTGATCCAGCAGGGCTCTTCTTATGTTCTTATAGGGAACCTCCACATTCAGAGGCAGTCAACCAGGAGGCAACATCAGGGGAAAGTTACCCAGGTTCCGATGTCCTGTTGTTGGCTGTCCAGAGGAGCTGGATCAGATGGCTCCTCAGTGGTCTGGTCCAGCAGGCTCTTCTTACGATATCTCTGGCTGTGGCCGCACGGTTGTGCTCTAGGAGGCAGCTCCGAAATGTGGGAACCAGACTCTCACTCGCTCAGCCATTTCATGTTTCAACCTGGGTCCTAGTCTCAGAGCTCTGAGTGTGAGATTTCTGTGGTGAATGGCAATGAATCAAAAGTAGGTTTGCAGCTTACAGATACACACCTGAACAGCATACTCAGGATTGCACGAGCACAGACATTTTGATGCAGTAATTCAGAGCAAGGGGTGTCAGTTATCAGACTCTGTTAAATAAGCAAGATGTTGCAAGAGCGCTCATGTCTTGAGCGTGTTTTTATTTTAAGGGTTTTTTTTAAAAAAAAAAAAACCTTTGTGTTTGTGCCTGTTATAAAGTTTATATTCTCCGCTACCTGGCATTACATTTTATGACACACGTGGCCCGGCCCAACAAGGTCTCATTTATGTCAGATCCGGCCCTCATAACAAATGAGTTTGACACGCCCGGGTTAAATGAGCTACTCTTTTGGATGTCCACTGAGAATTGCTGAGAGATGCTACAATAAAACGATAGCTGAAAATTCTAGGCGCCACATTGACACTTCTTTCAGTTTTGTGTAGTGGTTAAGTGCGCGGACTGTAATCTGGGAGAACCGGGTTTGATTCCCCACTCCTCCACATGCACTTGGCTGGATGACCTTGGGCAAGCCATAGCTCTGTCAGAGCTGTTCTTGAAAAAGAGCAGGAAATGACCCCTGAGTCCTTGGGCAAGCCATAGCTCTGTCAGAGCTGTTCTCTCAAGGACAGTTCCGTCAGAGCTCTCTCAGCCCCGCCTGCCTCCCAGGGTGTCTGTTGTGGGGAGGGGAAAGGAAAGGAGTTTGTCAGCCGCTCTGAGACTCCAAGTGAAGGGCCGGGTATAAATCCAGTCTCTTCTTCTTTCTCTTCCTCTTCTGCCTCCTCTGCGGGGAGGGGGGGAGGCAGCTGCCGGGGCCCAGGAGACCCTGCACCCGTGAACCCCCTCTGCCACCTGTCCGTACCCACGCTCCCAACTGCCCAGAGTCATGGAGGAAGGCCATGTGGGCAGTGCCCAGCGGCTGGGGAACAGTGTGCAGGGACGAGAGGGGTGCCCAGGGAAGTGGGGGGATGCCAGTGTTGTGGTGCAAAGGAGGGCAGGAGGGGGACCCTGGTGTGGGGGGGAGATAGGGGCCCTGGGCACTCTGTCCAGCCCCCCCCAATCTGGAACCGGACCTCCTTTGATGCCCCACTCTCTCTCTCTCTCTCTCTCTGTATCTTTGTCTCTGTCTCTCTTTGTCTCTTTCTCTCTCTGTCTCTCTTTGTCTCTGTCTCTTTCGCTCTCTGTCTGTCACTCTCTGTCTCTGTCTCTCTCTGTCGCTCTTTGTCTCTCTCTGTCTCTTTCTGTCTCTGTCTCTCTTTGTCTGTCTGTCTGTCTGTCTCTCTCTCTCTCTCTCTCTGTCTCTCTCTGTCTCTCTCTGTCTCTCTCTGTCTCTCTCTGTCTCTTTCTCTCTCTGTCTCTTTCTCTCTGTCTCTGTCTCTCTTTGTCTGTCTCTGGCTCTTTCTCTCTCTGTCTCTGTCTCTCTTTGTCTCTGTCTCTCTCTGACTCTGCCACACTTTCCCTCCCCCAGGCTCTATTACCTGCGCAACAAGGAACGGATCAGCGTCTCGGCGGCCTCCAAGCTCTTGGCCAATATGCTGTACGAGTACCGGGGGATGGGCCTTTCTGTAGGCAGCATGCTTTGCGGCTGGGACAAAAAGGTACCAGACCCGTTGGGGGAGATTGGGGGGGGGGACACAGGGTGGTCCGCTGGACAGGGAAGGAGGAACACGTGAGAAGAGCAATGCTCAAAAGGTGGGTCACAAAAAAGGGTGTTGGGTGTTCATCTGCTGCAGGGAGCGGCTGGTTGGGGGGAGGTTGGGGGAAGCCTGGGGCTCTTCGCCAGTTTGCTGTGAGGGCCAGTTTGGTGTAGTGGTTAAGTGCGTGGGCTCTAATCTGAGAGAGCCGGGATTGATTCCCCACTCCTCCACTTGCAGCTGCTGGATGACCTTGGGCAAGCCATACTTCTGACAAGAGCTGTCCTTGAAAAAAGAGCAGTTTCTGTCAGGAGTTCTCCCAGCCCCGCCTACCTCACAGGGTGTCTGTTGTGGGGAGGGGAAGGGAAAGGAGTTTGTATGCCGCTCTGAGACTCCTTTGGGTAGTGAAGGGCGGGATATAAATCCAATCTCTTCTTCTTCTACCTCACAGGGTGTCTGTTGTGGGGAGGGGAAGGGAAAGGAGTTTGTAAGCTGCTCTGAGACTCCCTTGGGTAGTGAAGGGCGGGGTATAAATCCAATCTCTTCTTCTTCTTCTTCTACCTCACAGGGTGTCTGTTGTGGGAAGGGGAAGGGAAAGGAGTTTGTAAGCCACTCTCAGACTCCTTCGGGTAGTGAAGGGCGCAGTATAAATCCAATCTCTTCTCTTCATCTTGCCCCCCCCCCTCCGAGGGTGGTGAGGTTGGCCATTTTGGGGCCTCCAGAGGAGCAAGGAGGTCCCCCCTTCTAAGGGCACCCCCAGATCCCACAGGGTCTGAGGCAGCGTTCCCTCTAAGCTGAGTTAGTGTGAGCCAGCTCACAGTGTTTTAGCCTCCGGCTCACACACTTTTGTCTCGGCTCGGGAAGGAGGGCTCCTGAGGAGACTAATTTATGCAGCAGCCAAAAATTGACTTCGAGATTGTGGAAGGCTAGGAGTCCAGGGTCTCTCTTAAAGAACATGGGAGGAATTATATAAAGGAGGGATATTACTGGAATGAGGGGTTGAGGGAGAATGAAAGGACTTCTTAGCTTTTGAGGGGAAGACCAGCAGAATGAGAAGGGGGCCCCAGCCTACTAGGGGCCAGGGTTACAGCATCCCCTTTCCTTCGTCTGCAGGGACCAGGCCTTTACTACATAGACGACAACGGGGTACGCCTGTCAGGCCCCCTCTTTTCCACGGGAAGTGGAAACTCGTATGCCTACGGGGTGCTGGACAGCGGATACCGCCCCGACCTCAGCGTGGAAGAGGCCTACGACCTGGGCAGGCGGGCCATCACTTATGCCACCCACCGCGACGCCTACTCTGGAGGGGTGGTGAACAGTAAGTTCTCTTGGGCCCTGCCCCTGAACTGCCCCTGGCTCTCTCAGCGTCACCCGTCTCAGTCCTATAAGCGTGTGGCTGTTCTGTGAGAGCCTGCTCTAGTTTTGCACATTTTACACTGATGGTGCGGTGTCTCCCTGTGCCCCGCAGTGTATCACATGAAGGAAGACGGCTGGATCCGGGTCGGACGCACCGACGTCGCTATGCTGCTCGACCAGTACGCAGAGGCCAAGAAATGAGATGTGACGGGGCCAGGAACTGGACTCGGCAGACGTTCTTTGACACTCAGGGCTGAAGGGGAAAAGGGACGAGGGCCTTGTGGCAATAAAGAGGCCTTCCGTGTTTGTTTCCTCGAGTTTGGTTTGTTGTTTTGGAAGTTCGTTGCAAACATTTGGGAGGCTCAGTCAAAGACATTCAGCCTGACTTGAGTCCAGTAGCCTCTCAGAGGTTCAGAAGATTTTCAGGGCTAGAAGCGTTTTGGGAGTCCAGGCCCCCTTCATCAGATATAAGATTAAAAGGTGAAGGTAAAGGTTCCCTTGCTCGAAAGCCATTCGAATCCAACTCTAGGGTTGCAGTGCTCATCTCCGTTTCCAAGCCGAAGAGCCAGTGCTGTCTGAAGACGTTTCCGTGGTCATGTGGCCGGCGTGACTAAACACCAAGGCGCACGGAACGCTGTTACCTTCCCACCGAAGTGGTACGAACTGCTAGGTTGGCAGGAGCTGGAACTAGAGACGGGAGCTCACTCCGTCATGCGGCGCACTCGGGTCTCGAACTGCTGAACTACCGACCTTCCACAGCCTGCAGTTCAGCGTCTTGACCACTTGAGCCACCGCAGATAGATAGATAGATAAGATAGAAGCCTGTAAATCTTCAGTGGCTAAATTTGGGTGCAATTCCACCTCCAGTTCAAGAAACACAGGGATTCCGTGCCCATTCAAAAAACTCTCGAAGGTCCAGGTGGGGTAGCCGTGTTGGTCTGAAGCGACAGAACAAAGTCTGAGTCGAGTGGCACCTTTAAGACCAACGAAGATAATTCTGGGTAGAAGCTTTTGCATCCACACACACTACTTATACCCAGAATACAACTTTGTTGGTCTTAAAGATGCCACTGGACTCAGACTTCAGTCTGCATAGAACCTTCCACAGCCAAACAAAGGAGTACACGCTTATCCTAAGGTTATATTTTAATGTAAGAGCTATAGGGGCAGTAACATCGTCACTGTTAGGAATGACTACTTTCCTGCAAGCGTAATGGGATATAGGGTATTCGTATGCACCCCCTCACACACACACTCCTAGGCCAATCGGCCTGACTCCCGCGTGACCTCTGATTCTACCCCGTCCCCAACTAAAAGAGAATTTTTGGCACATGTCACGTCTCATGGGATGGGTGAGAACAGCTTCAAGAGGGGATTGGATCAACATCTGGAGCAGAGGTCCATCAGTGGCTACGAGCAGCAAGGTAGAAATAGGAATTCCCGGTCTGGGCTGGGGCCAGGGATGCTCTGTCTTCTTGGTGCTTGGGGGAGGGGGCAACGGTGGGAGGGCTTCTGGGGTTCTGGCCCCGCAGAGTGTTGGACTAGATGGGCCATTATGTTCTTATATGGAGCAGAGGTCCATCAGTGGCTACGAGCAGCAAGGTAGAAATAGGAATTCCCGGTCTGGGCTGGGGCCAGGGATGCTCTGTCTTCTTGGTGCTTTGGGGGGGGGGGTGCAA